AATAAACAGATGTTCTCCTTCAGATCCTTCCTAACAGTTTCTACAGGAATTCTTTAAAATGATGATCCCTATCACCATGCATTTATTTATTTCAGCTAGTCAAGGCTGTGCAATCATTTTCACAGATGTCTTCTACCCATTGTCTTTCTTTTCTTTTTTCCTTTCCTTTCCTTTGCTTTCCTTTCCTTTCCTTTCCTTCCCTCCCCTCCTCTCTTCTAATTCTTCCTTCCTTCCTTCCTTTCGACAGAGTCTTGGCCATGTAGTTCAGGCTGGTCTTGAACTCACTATGTAGCCCAGGCTCACCTCAAAATTACTATGATCCTTCTGCTTCAACCTCCTGAGTATTGGGATTTCAGTTGTGCACCAGCAAGCTTCTTGTACTTTTATGAAGGCTTTAAGTAGTTTGAAATATTTCCACATAAAACTAGCTCCACAGCATTTCGTTATATACACTATGGCAATATTCATTTACCATTCATTTTTGCATAGTAGCCCTTGGGAGACATGACTAGGCCAAGCACTTACAGATGCCTCAATACCTGATATTTACCATGCCAACCACCACCTATAACTCATAGCCCCATTAATCTTGTGTAAGTATGGGGACATGGATGGCATCTTGGAAGTTAGCTGATATGTCTGGTGCAGCTTGCTAAGGGGAGTCTTGAGAGTAACTTACTTTGGTGAAACATTAATTCTGCTTGATATAATATTTTATACATTGTTGGATCTTGGTAAAGTGTTCACCATGATGATGAACAGTATTTCTTCTCAGGATCTCACCTTATTTGTCACTGTAAAGAACTTGTGTTTTGGGACGATGTTAGGAATAATAAGGTCCCAAGTCCAGGTCTCCTTGTAGAGCTTGCAGAAAAACTGGCCTGTCAAGAGACACATAACCTCATTCTTTCTTGCTGTTCTCATAAGCTTTGGCCTTGTGAATTCAGTGAGAGCTGTCTCCTTAAGAATGCCGATGCTCATAGATGGGCAGGGGCCTGCCTGCTCTGAGAATGAAGTTCTGAGTCCACATTTTCCACCATGTCTCATTAGAGTGGAATCATTAGAATGGACACAACATCCTGAACGACCTTCCTTTTTGAGACTTTATGTACTCCACATTTAGCTGTGGATGATTTTTTTAAGTTGAGGGACAAATAAAGGAAGCAGCAAGCAGTAATTTGACAAGTATCCTTTAGTGGGTTAGTTCTTGATTTCATCTAGGATGACTGGGGCAGAACAGTACTCTTTAATTGGAGGTCTTAATATTTTGTGTGCTTCTATTCATAAAAAAACTAACATTAGCCTTATTTGAGCAGTTTGGCAAAGCAAATATTGTAGCAGAAAAGATAGTTGCAAGAGAGGCATTTCCTGATCTGCCATCACTATTGATTAACTTTGTGGAAGAGCAACTCCAAAAAACATCATGTTAGATGAAATGCAGCTCTGCACCAACCCCTAGAGATGGCCTGTCTCTGCTCTCTACTCAACAAGTATAATAATTACACCAGGCATTGCTTTCCTGACAAGTATGTGTTCAAGAGATTCAGCATCCATGACGGTACAGATTTGAGCTCTCTAGGGAAGTCAGGAAAACTTATGTATCATTTTTTTTTCATCAACACCAAAGCCTCTTCTATTGTCAAACAGGCCAGATGAAACAGGACAAAGAACCTTTTACTGGCTCACCAGCAAATCACCTGGAAGGGGCAGAAAAGTAGGTGAATTACTGAGCCATCAACAGGTGACTCTAAAGAAGGATTCCATGACAGTTATTTGATACATCTGTTTTCATTTTAAGGCATCTTATGGCTTGAGGCAGCCCATTCCCAAGACTTTGACAAGTAGAAGGGCAGGCAGCAGTGCAGTGTGGTGCCAACCTTTCGCTCTGGTGGGACTCACCACCAGATGTACAAAGCAATCATGAGCATTGTCAGATGCATACTGTTCTCTTCACCTGCTGCTGTCCAGTGTTACACCAGGGAAGAATTTTACTCCCATATTCATTATCCTTCACTGTTATTAAGGGTACAAATGAACCATAATTCAATTTTTGTGAGAAATAAATTATATATGAACTTGAAACTATAATAACAATCATATCTGAGTTAGCTGAGGGATTAGTGAAAGCCATGTGTGTAAAATTTTACATGTATTCTCATAGGTGCTATTATTAGCTCTAGAAAGAGAGGGATTAGGTGACTTCCCAAATGTCACACAGTGAATACAGGTATTTGAACCTAACCAGTCTGAGTCCAGAACCAATACTGTATTCCCAGTGATAAATAACCTTATATACAGGAGAAAAATCAGGATATGAAAGTGACTGAACACATAGTTTTACAATGGATGTCATAGCCTGATGGTATTGCCCATGCACTTTAAGACAAGGGAAATACTGGTCTAAATACTAGAATTTCCAGGTTTTCAGAAAGTCAAGCAACTTTCCTTGGAGAATAGAGGTAATCAAGATCACTGAATCACAAGGTGGAAGCAGATACTGAGAAGTCAATCTTTGATTTCTTTACAGTAAGAAAACAAAATGTAGGGACAGGAGACTGGAGGCAGAAATTAAAACCACTCTGGATATTTCAAATTTCTGGTTGGAGATGGATTTGGGTAACATTCATTAGAGATAATAGTTGCCACACAGAATTCAGCTACTTTCAATTTAAGTGTGAACTTAGCAGTCATTTGAAAGAAGAATGTTAGCACTCCCCCTACCTCAATGAATTTAAAGTACTCAATAACTGACGGTGAACATTTAAGTGATTATAATATGTCAAACACTGTGCTAAGTCTAATATTTAATTTTCACAGCAACTTTATGAGGTAGCCATTATCCCCATTTTATAGATGAGTAAACTGAGACACTGAGAGGTCAAATAATTTGCTTAAGATCAAATAGCTAACAAGCAATAGGCATGGATTCAAATCAAAATAGTGTGACTACCAGGTCTGCTGTTAAGCAGTAAACAAGGTGCTTTTTCTGCAGAGGGAATCCTCTGAGCAGATTGTTCAGAATACCTACCCCAATTTGCTAGCCATATTATTGACCCTAGCTCTGACTTTAAGCCTGTGATGACTGCTTGGTGGAATCTTTGCTTTCAGTGCTAGGCTCTTTCTGCTTTATATTATAGTTGAATAAATAAGTACTGAAAATTAATTTGTGAGCATAGATTTGTGCTTAGATGTGATAATTAACAAATAATCTGACACTAGTTAACATTTTGTCTCCTTGAATTCAGAGTAGATGTGGCCTCAAGATTTTTCCGGGATATTTACCAATGTGGTTCAGACTGCCATAAACTGCCACTGACCAAATCAGATTGTTTAGTAACCTTCAACTATAAGCAATTGTGAATCACAATTGTGCCATATGGAGCTATAAAACAATGTTAGTATTTCAGTTTAAATTTTATTATAATTAAATAATAGAAAGTAAACAAAACCACATTACTTGCTTTAGAAGCTTCTACGAGACAATTATTAACAACTTTAAATATTTTAAAGCACTTACTGTGTGCCAGGCATTATACTAAGCATGATTTAATTCTTGTAACTCCAGGAGATATTTTAATTTTATGCACAGGGAAATTAATGAAAGCAGTAGGATTGGAAGACAGATAGAACACATAGTGTGAAATCTTAGCCACTCTGCACTAACATACACTGATTCCTCACTCATCCCACTAACCACTTAAAACCGAACGAGATTCATGGTCCAATCATTCCAGCCTTTGAGGAATACCTGGTCATTCTTTTCAATCACTGTTAGTCTAATAGAGAAGGATACAGTATCACTCAATACAGCCCATGATATGAATTATATTTTGGCCTAACAGTTCTTTGCCTCTGCCACATATGGCCTCATTTCTCATTCTTCACTCACATACCCTTTTTTTCTTCATGTTTGCTTTTATGCTTATTTCTTAGTGCTCAATGTAATAATATGTCTTAGTTTATTATTAGGATTGTTGTTGCTTAACCTACCTCACCCATTATAAACTATAATGATTCAAAATCTGGGATAGAATTATGAAAATTATTTGAGGAGAGGGAATATTTTGTAAACAAGGGGCCCAACAAAGTGATCTCATGATTTATCAACATGAATATGCCTATGAACCACCTGGGGATTTTGTGAAAATGTGGTTTCCAGTTCACTAGGTATAAACTGGGGCCTGACATTCTGGAATTCTAAATAATTCCTAGATTACACAAAGCATACTTTGCGTAAGAGGATTGCAAATTCTCCTGGTCTTGTGCTTTTAAGTAGGCTCACACTTAAATGAATCTGGGGAGATTAATAATGTTCAGGCTGTTGAAAAAGCCATTGCACGTTCCTTGAGATGGCAATTGTCTAATATCTTCACAAAACCACTGCAATGGTTAATTAGCTCTGACTATCGAGGAAGCTGGCGTGTATGTAAACTAAATTCTTCAGCTGTTTTTTTCTTCTGATTTTATCTTTAATGGAGATAAAGTTAGTCAACCATGCCCATTCTCTTATGGATTATTCTGTTTATGAATATAGTTATAAACAAAGTTATTCAATGTTAAAATAGTCAGCTGCTGTTCCTGCCACCTCTTTTTTTCCCTTTAGGAATTTTTTCCCTTTAGTCTTCCCTTTAAGACTTTGAGGATGTCTAAGTTAATTCTCTTTCCATATCTGTGTTTATTTGCTTCCTCTAAGAAAGCAATAAAATTATACAGGCTTTGTAATTGCTTGCCAAAATTCTGTTGCCTTTTAGTTCGTGGGATGTTTAAATGTTCAGTGACCCTATCCTGCATCAGATACACTGCCATCTTGCCCAAAGTGCAATCAGGGGTATACTGGTAACTACTGGTCACCCAGCCTATAAAACTCGTATTACAAAAATGCACACTCTAGGCAGAATCTGGTAGATGTAAACTTCAAAACAAGTTGTATCATACTGTTATATTTATTACCACATGGTCGATAAAAAGAAGCACTTGCAAGGTGATTAAAAATAACATACCAGGTAAAATTGGTTGTCCAGCAATTCCCAGTGGTGCCATTCCAAGATTATTCATTGCTGTGGCCCATGCAGTTGGATCAGACATAGGTAGTGTCATTGCAGTAGACTCTACATTCAGAGGTCTATTATTATCAGCTGAAAAGAAATGACAGGCCAAATAATTTGTCATTTTAAGGTTCTAGTATCTGTTTTACTTATCAGTTTAAACTCTGGCAAAGTTTTTACAGAAATGATCTGATGGACAAGTAGTGGTTAAGGCCACAAGCCAGCTTTCTTATAAGGATTAAAACAACACAGATTAAACTGACAGGAAATCATGAAATTTAAAAGCAATTTACCAGATGGCATTTTAGTGTAAGTGTTTCCTTCTCTCATCCCTCCCCACACTTTTTTTTTTCCCCAAGCATACACAACACCGGAGTTTTGGATGATTAAGAAGTTTCCCATTCTTCTCAGTCTACTAGCATATGATTACTTCAGCAGCTTCCACCCAAACTACTCATGCATGCAAACCAAGAAAAAAAAGCTTAGGGATTCTGTAGTTGGCAATAAAATATGAAAATTACAGTCCGGATGAAATTTCATATCTTTGAGGCAGTACTACTGAAAAGAGCTGAACAAACCATCAGCAGACATCAAACTAGGCAACTGAGTATTTGGGGAGGGGGTTAGGGAAATACCAATATAAAAGCAGACAGGAGACATGGCCCTTGCCTCAAACATTGTACAAATGAATTGAAGAAATCAAGGATGATGGTGATGATAATTATTATTAGCACTAGTATTGCCATCTTTACCTACCACTACCACCAACTACTGAACACTTACCATATGCCAATAATGCACCTCAAATGCATTCTTCTTTAACTTGCAGGACAATCATATGTGACAGGGAATATTTCATTTAATAAGTGAGAAGTTTTGAAGGATTGCATGTATTCTCCAAAATCATACAAGAGGAGTATTTTTTGCCACTGTTGGCTTTACTATCTCCAATTAAGTAATTAGAAAACAATGAAATCTTCAAATGGTATAGAGTAGATTAATGAAATTGAAGGAATAAAAGTGCTACTGTGGCCTGAGAAGATACAAAATACTTCACAGGGAAGGATGGGATTTGGAAGAATGGTTCAGATTTCTATAGAAAATGTCTTGAGTGGATAGTTATTACATAAAGAAGAGGGGGTAAGACATCGCAGAAACAGAGACGACATAAGCAAAGGCATTGAAATGGGTTATATATGTAAGTGCATGTATCTACCTCACAAGTAGAAGAGATATAGCCAGAAGTCATATGAACATAAAAAAATTAAATTTTGAAAATTTTCCTCTATCTACAGATAGCCAAAGGGGTAAAATCAAACCACTCCTTGACTTTTTTCCTACTCTCCACTATGTATTTCTATCAATTACACCCCACAAGGCAGCTTTGTTCTAATAGTAACTTGCTAATGTCCATCATGTCTTTTTTAGCTTGGTAACATCAGGGATGATCCTTGGCCAATTTATTTATACATGTGTTTTTTTGGTCACTGGTCAGAACAAACAAATGCAAATACCCAAAGACCTAATTTCTGAAATAGCAGTTTTTGTTATTCTTCTCTGCACCCTTTGCTATCTCCTCAATAAGGCATGCATCCCCCCACACACACACACATGCGACACGCACACACACGCACGCGTGCACACACACACATACATTCTTCCTACACACAGGCTGATTGATGGTCCTAAGCATTCATTATGTCAGTCAAAAGCCACATTTCAGGGCTGGTGATTTCTCAGTTTTCTGTGCTCTCTCATGAAGGTACATCTTAAGGTTAGAAATAGCTTCCCTGTAAATATTATCAAGAAAACAGGTACAGGGCATCAAATATTCTTTGACTCAAGTATTCACGTTGTAGTAACGACGTTCACCAGAACTTCTAATCCCCAGAGACGGAAGACAAAGGTGTAGGTAAGGTTATAACTGGAAAGCACCTTCTACTATTATCAAGTTTGCACCCTGTTTTCATGGTGGCTAGAGAATGACTCCTAGAGGAAAAAGGCAGACCTAGAAGGGTGGAGATTGGGCAATGCCAAAATAATTTGGTTTTGGCAGCAGATTGGCTACTCATTGGTTCTACAGCCCCAGGAAATATAACAAAAGTAGTAATTCTTTTCAACACAGGATTCTGAGTTCAAATAATGAGAATTTACAATGTATTAACCTAGCCAAACTTTGACTAATTTGGGCTGAGTTGGGGAGAATAATTTGAAGGCTCATGTTTTTTACTTTATTTTAACAAGCAAAACAGAAAAGAAGGATTGAAATGATACAGAATTTAAAAAAAAAGGAAAAAAGTAGGGAATTAATACTAGTTAATATACTGCACATTGTTATCTCAGAACTTGTTACTCAGGTTACAAAATCTATATACAAATATGATCAATCAAACAATAACAGCACAAATTGTTCTTTTTGATGGACTAAGAGATTAGTAGTAGAGTTATATATCTAATGTACATATACATACATAAATTTATGTTTATCAACATACATATAAACTTCTCCTTTCTTCCTTTTTTATATTCCCCTATCCCAGTGGTTCTGTACTTTTAAACACTTTTTTCCCTTTCATTATTATAATTTCTATTGTACATTTTGGATCTCATTACTCTTTCAGTTCTTTATTATTATTTATTTTTTACATTGGAGACAAATTTACAAATGTGAGTCTGATTTATTTCCCTTATGACTATAGTCTCAAGTTGCCTCCATTTTCCTATAAAAGCTTCAAGATCACTTTTTATAGCTGAATAATATTCCATTTCATAAAACACCACATCTTTTTCATTGATTCTGCGGTTCAAAGGCATTTTGGTTGTTTCAAAGATTTTGCTATTACAAATTGTGCTGCTATAAATATTGGTGCACATATATCACTGTGACATGATGTTTTCAATTCTTCTGGGAAAATACCCAGGAAAGGAATAGTTGGATTAAATGAGATTTCCAATCCTAGTTTTTTGAGGAATCTCCATACTGATTTCCACAGTGGCAGCACCAGTCTCCTCCCATTAACAGTGCAGAAGATTTTATTTTTCCTCAAATCCCTGCCAACATTTGTTATCAGTTGATTTCTTGATGGAAGCCATTCTTTCTGGAGTGAGATGGAATCTCAATGCTGTTTTAATTTGCATTTGTCAAATGACCAGTAATACTGAACATCTATTCATGTATTTATTTATCTTCCTCTGAGAAATGTGTATTCATCTTGGATGCCCATTTTTGGAATGCATATTTGAATTTGGGTAGCTTGATGTTTTGCAATTCTTTATATGATCTGAATATAAATCCTTTGTCTGAGGCACTACTGGCTAAAATTCTGTCCCATTCTATGGCTTTTCTTTTTACTTTGTTGGTGATTTCAAGTGCAAATACTTTTTAATAAGATGAGATCCCAGTTGTTGATACTTTGAAGTACTTCCCATGTGGTTTGCATTTTGTTCATAAACTCTTTGCCTACCCCTATGTCTTCAAGATTTCTACCTAACTTTTCTTCCAGAAGATTTAGCGTATCTGTTTTAATATTTAGACCTTTGATTCATTTTGACTTTAGTGCATGGTGATAGATATGGGTCTACTTTCAGTCTTTGGCATGTTGTAAAGCCAATTTTTCCAGCACCATCTATTAAAGAGACCATCTTTATTCCAGTGAACATGTTTAGCCTCTTTGTGAAATATAAGGTGGTTGAATGTCTTTGTAGTTGTGTTTGCATCTTCTAATATGTTCCACTGATCCTCAAGCCTATTTCTTTGCCAGTACCATGCTGATTTTACCACTGTTGCTTTGTAGTATAATTTCAAGTCAGGGATTGAGATGCCTCCTGCTTAGCTTTAGTTGCCCAGAATTGCCTTTGCTATTCTAGGTTTCTTTTGTTTCCAAATGAATTTTAGAATGTTTTCTCTAAATTTGTAACATATGTCAATGGTATTTTGATTGGTATTGCATTAAATCTATATAACAGTTTTGGGAGTATGGCCATTTTCACATTGTTGGTTCTTCCTAAACAACAGCAAGTGATATCTTTCCAATTTCTGATATCCTCTTCAATCTCCTCTTACTTGCTAGCTTGATTCCTAAGTATTTCATTGTTTTGGATACTATTGTGAAAGGTGTCCTTTCCATAATTTCTCCGTCAGTGAATTTGCTGTTTGTGTACAGGAATGCTATTGATCTTTGAGTATTGCCTTTGTATCCAGCTATACTGCTGAATTTGCTTATTAACTCTAGTAGTCTTTTGATAGAGTTTTTGGCATCTTCGATGTAGAGTATCATGCCATGTGCAAAGAGTGATAATTTAACTTCTTTCTTTTCTATCCTTATACTTTTTATTTCTCTCTCTTGTATAATTGCTCTGGCTAATGATTCCAGAACTTTATTGAATAGGAGCGGTGATAGTGGACATCCTTATCTTGTTTCTGATTTTAGAGTGAAAGGTTTCAGTTTTTGTCCATTTAGTATAATATCAGTTGGTTTGTCATAGATGGCTTTTATCAGATTGAGGTAGATACCACCTTTTCCAGTTTCCTGTAGGGTTTTTATCATGAACAAGTATTGAAATTTATCAAAAGCCTTTTCTGAATCTATTGAGATAATCACATGATTTTTCTCTTTGGCTCTGTTGATGTGATGTATTACACTGATTGATTTGCTTATGTTGAACCATCCCTGCATTCCTTGGATAAATCCCACTTGATCATGATGTATCTTTTTAATGATTTGCTGTAGCCTATTTGCCAGTATTTTATTGATAATTTGTGCATCAATGTTCATTAGTGAGATTGGCCTATATAGTTCTTTTTGGTTGGGTCCTTCTCTCATTTTGGTATTACAGTAATACTTGCTTCCAGGAAAGAGATAGGAACAATTGCTTCTCTTTCAATTTCATTGAAAAGTTTGAGTACTATTGGTTTTAATTCGTCTCTAAATTTCTTATAGAATTCAGTTGTAAATCCATCAGGAGCTGGGCTTTTCTTTGTTGTTAAGTTTTTAATCACATTTTCAATTTCAGTAGCCGATATTGGGTTATCAAAATTGTTGTATATTCTTGAGTTAGCTTTGGTAATTCATAAGTTTCTAGAAATCTGT